AATATAGTGTTAACTTTGTAAACTTATTGGACCAATAAGATTCATTCTTTAGTAGATGTTACTTCAAAATTTTGATTTAATGATGAAGGGCAAATAGTTAGTTTTTATGTGTAAGTTACTTTAATAGTATTTAATGATATTCATAGGTATTGGTAAGAATGTGTTCATAACCATAAAGTATTCATAAGAATGTGCTCATATGTGTTTATAGATGCTTATAAAAATTGTGTTCATAACCATAAGGTGTTCATAAGATTGTGTTTAATAACCATAAGGTGTTCATAAGATTGTGTTTAATAAGCATAAGGTGTTCATAAGNATAACCATAAGGTGTTCATAAGATTGTGTTTAATAAGCATAAGGTGTTCATAAGATTGTGTTCATAACCATAAGGTGTTCATAAGATTGTGTTCATAACTGTTTGGTGTTCATAGGTGTTCAATAAGATTTTTCATTTATTACAAGTATGTCATGATTTAATCCATAGATTTCAAGGATTAAGGATTAAGATTGGTTCAAATAGTTAACACTAGTTATTAGGTTAACAAAAGAACCAGCCCCTATATATATATAGTTTGTTTTAAATACAACCCGTCGCATTTGTACAACCAATGCAACCCAATAAATTGAGATATTTATGGAAATGATGAGAGTTCATTTATTATTATTTGAATATTTATGGAAGATGAATAAAGTTAATTAATTATGATCAATACTTTATATTATGAAACAATCAAAACATCTATGAAATCACATATTAATCAAATGAAATGGACGGTTGAGATTGGATTGTATTGGTTGCACAAATATCAAGGGTTGTATAATAACCAACCCCTCTCTCTCTCTCTCTCTCTCTCTCTCTCTCTCTCTATCTATCTATCTATCTATCTATCTATCTATCTATCTATCTATCTATCTATATATATATAAGAGGTTTACTTTGCAAACCACGTTATTTGTATAAAATGTACAAACCTCATTTAACCAATCATAATTTTTCATTTTGTTCATTTTTTTGTAATTATGAGAGGTTGATTAATCATTTTTATTGTGGAGAGTGTTAATGATGAATATTGTTATCTTCATTATTTTAATTTTAGAGAAATACATGAAACAATTTCATTAAAATTTCATTAAGTAKTATATGAAACAATTTCATAACCATATATGAAACAACTTCATCAAAAAAGTATTATATGAAACAATTTCACAAGATTAAACAATTTCATGAAAAAATTTCATAAGATTAAATAACGAAATCGACGGATAAGGGTGGTTTGCACGGCTTGTACAAATATGATGCATTGTGATACCACTGTGGTATCACCGAAGGACGGTGGTCGGAGGCCGGGGGACGGAGAGAGAAGAGAGGAGATAGGAGAGATGAGAGAGGAGAGATAATACCTAAAATATCCTTGCATTAAAATTTTAATTAAAAATTACTAAAATTATAAATTTCCTATTTTATCTATTGATTTGTGGTTGAGATTGGACCTCACGGTTACCACAAACTAATTAGTTCTCATTTGATTAAGCCTATATATATATATATATATATATATTAGAAGGGTACTCGTGCAATACATCGAGACACATTTTCATTTCAATGTTTCGTTTTATTTTTTATCCATGTCGATATAATACGATTTTATGTGATTTTAAGAAACCGATAGTTTTTTATTTTTGAGTAAAATATAAATTTGAAAATATCATATAAAATTTATAAAAAATATATTAACATTAGTATCAAATTAACTATTTAAATTTTTTTATTTATGTATTTTTTTAATTCAAAATTTTATTATAATTTAATTTATCGTAACGAAGTAACTTCATTTAGGTTTAATAATATATTTTTTTATAAAGATAATAATTAAATATTCTTTTAAAACTCAATAATTATTCTAATTATATTTTAGATTTTTTATATTTTAAAATGAGATATTTATCCTATATTTGATTATGTTTATCCACAGTTAGTTACACGAATTCAAATATAGAGCTTTAATAAGTTGTACTTATGCACAATTTACTTGCAATCTTGAATTTTAAGTAATACGTATCAATGAACAATACTTCATGCATAAAAAACAGTTTTTAAGAGTTGTTATCAAATGTTTTATAATATAACTAGAAGGATACTCGTGCAATGCAGCGAGATAAATTTTGATTTTAATGTTTAGTTTTTATTCTTTGTCTCTATCGATATAATAAGATTTTATGTGATTTTAAGAAAATGTTAATGTTTTTATTTTTGAATTAAAATATAAATTTAAAGATAACATAAAAATTTGTAAAAAAAAATAAATTGATAATAATACCAAATTAACTATTTAATAGTTCTCATTTTTTTTGTAATTTTTTTAATTCAATTTTTTTATTATAATTTTATTTAGATTTAGTAACATAGTAATTTATTTTTGATTTAGTAATATAGTTTTTTATAAAGATAATAATTAAATATTCTGTTAGARYTCAATGATTATCTTAATTATATTTTAGATTTTTTATATTTAAAATTGATGTTTATCCTGTATTTGATTATGTTATCAGCAGTTAGTTACACAAATTTAAAAATAAAGCTTTAATAAATTGTGTTTACGCAAAATTACTTGTAATCTTAAATTTTAAGTAATATGTATCAATAAAGAATATTTTATACATAAAAAATATTTTTTAAATTTTTTTATCAAATGCTTTATAATATAGTATAAATAGAGATATATAAAAGTTGGAAGTAGATGTCAAGTAAAGAAATAGGCGGTGATGCCACCGCCACCAAGTATCAATCGTCTCATCCTAATTCACCATCTTATGCTTACGGTTTTGCTATATATAGTTACATATGTTATATTTCATAAAATCTACATAAAAATACCAAAGTAAATTAGAGAGTTACATCCAATTTAAGATGGTGAATAAAACATTACGGTTAAACAAATAAGGTGAGTATGTTATGATATTTACTAGGATACATATGTGTTATATAATTGTATTTTCTGTATTTCAATTAACTATTTTTATTTGTTACTCTAAAATTGACCAACTTTATTTTTATTAATATTATATGCAACGGTTATTTGAAATCATCATTTATTTATTTTTAACATCTGTTTGTATTAATCAACACAATATATTATTAATGAATTGTTTTAAATATATTATAAAATGTAAAATTTTATTAATTTTTAAAACCTATTATTTTCAATCATTTTATATTTTATCAACTAACTTATGAGCTAGATTTTACCAAACATATTGTCTTAAATACGGGTGTTCGCGGTCCGGTTTGGGCGGTTTAAGCCCTCAGGCCACAAACCAAACCGTAATGGCGGTTTGTGAAATTTCCAGACCGAGCGGTTTGAAACCAAGTGCCCAGAGCGGTCAAACCAGACCACGAAAAGGCGGTTTGGTCTGACCGGTTTAGGCGGTTTGGGCCTTTAATGGGCTTTAAATATGTTCTTCACTTTCGTTTACAAATATGTTCTTATGGGATTTAGATTTCTGTTTCGTCACTTTCGTTTCCACGGCAAGCTACTAGACTAGGGCAGACGATAAGTCGGCAACGACAGCTAGACTCTCTGTCGTTTCTACTTTCCAATCTGGCAAGCAGCAACAGCAAGTCGGCAAGTTTGTTCGATTTCGATGAATTAGGCGACGTCGCGACGATTAGAAAATAGTGAAATACCGAAATAGAGGTGGATTACTGGATTAGGAATTACCGAATTAGGGATTTAGATTTAGGAGATTTAGGAAATCTTTTTGGATAAGGCTTTTATGTTTGGGCTAATAGCCCATAAGGTATAAATTAAAGTTGAGCATTTAATTGGGCTTAATAATTATAATACTAATATATATATATATATATGGTGGTCGGGTTGGTCCAAACCGCCCAAAAAAAAGTCTAAACCGCAGACCGACCAGACCGCCCGGTTTCGGCTATTTTTCAAACCAGACCGCTCAAACCGCCAAAAAGGGTCCGGTTTGACTTGGTTCGGCCGGTTTGAACGGTCCGGCGGTTTTTTTGAACACCCCTAGTCTTAAATTTGAGAAAACGCCATTAAATTAATGTCCTCAAAACCTAATCCCACAACCCCCTTCGCCTTCCCTCCATGTTCTTTCAAATAGTGTTTGGCATGTAGACTGGATGAGACAGTACAAGACAGAACAGGACGGGACAAGACTAATTGTCTGTCCTATATTTGGTACGACTAGGACAGGACAGGACAAAACTATTAAAATGATCATATTACCCCTAAATGTTGTTCAATGTTATTTTATATCATATAAATGATTGTAAAATGACAACAAATCAACCAAAATATTGTCATTTTAACTTTAGTCCCATGTTGTTCCACCTTTTTTGGTGGAACAAGAAATATCAAGATTTGTCCCATTAAAATTCAAAAAATAGTCCCACCTTGTCCCATATTTTTTTTGTCCATGGCATGCCAAACATGAGACTATTTTTTTGTCCCGTCCTGTCCCATATAGTCTACATACCAAATGCACCCTCACAGATTTACCAAAGGGTTTGTAACTTATCTCCTACATCCTCGATAAAAGCCAAACAGAGCTTGGTTGAATGTTCTAACATTATTACCAAATCATTTATTGGCCAAAAGTACTCATTTTTCTTGCATTCTAACACCCATAACCATCTTTCATAACATGCATTAATTCAAGTATACCCCACTAATTGTACCATACACTCTTAAACTGTCTATTTCTTAAACAACTCATGGCCTTAAGCTCTCATAACTATCTTATTTTCATGCCAAACTATTCCAGAATCTCATGTACTAATCATCATACATGTAAATAAACCCCTTGTTCAAAAACTTCACCTCTGGAAAAGGTAAACTTGATATACAGGGAAGAGTGGTGACATGGTTGTATTATCATGCTGGACCCCAAACTATACTATTGAGGAAGCTTTTAGCTCAACTGGAGTTCATAGGTCATGTGTGCAACCACAGAATCCGACAAAATGGGTATAAATTAACGCATCTTATGAGCACTAGAATACCAACAATAGAACGAACTTTGGCAACAAGGTCCTAAAGGTTCTTAATCGACAAATATAGCATTCCACAGGTACTGTTAAAACTAAGACATGCTCCAAAAGGCAACATTTTTCTTTGGGCAATATGAAGATAATTGATGCCCCACACCATTGTTTCAAAAATACCTGCCTTTAGCAGGCGATAACGCATTAGTTTCACCATAATCTGATTCAAATGAACAATTCCTATTGAACCTGAAAGTCAACACACCTCTTAATCTTCAGAAAGATGATATTTTCTTGTGTGGCTGGTGCTGATGGTGCCATTGTCAAAAAGAGTTCTATCGAGGAGTCAATCTTGCTTGAGTTGCTGGCATCGGGTACTGCACAAGATTTCATTAACGTTCAGGACCGATAAAGTAACTAAACCACATCATATCTTTATTGAATCAACAATGGCAGTGGAAGAATTCATTTCCAAAGTCCTAAAATTTCATTCTCTACAAGAGTTTATGATTCATATGACCATAAGCCCAATTCACAGAATCATATTTTTTCAACTCCTTACTTAGGCACTCAACTGAAGAAAGACACCAAAAGCATTCGGTTCTTAACAAAATTAACCAAATACTTCAAAACGCAAGGGGCAAAGTGTTTTGGGTACAGTAAAATGCAATGACTTTCTGTACCGAAAACAATGACAGAATCTTTTTTGATGAAAAAGATGCAGGAAATAAGTTTCCGTATGCTTAAATATTTTTGCATAAAAGTATGTTTTAAGAGAATTCTTATCCATCTTTAACAATTCCGGTTTCCTGTCTAAGCATTAAGGTAGCACAACAAGCCTAAGTCCAGATAAACCAAACAAACCAGTATACCCCCACCAAGGTAGGGTCTCCTTGCCTCTATGTTTCCGTGAAACCTCCGACTTGCAAAACAATGGAGTGTGTGCAAACACGCAACATGTACATTGAAAAAGGAAGCAGGGACATAGGATAAAACAAACAGGATATCACAAAACGCAACACTGACAACTACCAAAGCAGGAAGAAAGTTTAAGACTAACATACAGTAAAAAGAGGAAAAACTAATATTACCGGCATTGTATATGGTGAGCTTTGTGCCATGAAACCAAGGAACTCTTGCTTTTTAACTTCGAAATTGTACTTCACATGGGCTAACATTGCTTCTTCCCTCTGAATATCTTCCATCAGTTTTTCCCTTTTCCATTTCAACTCCTTCATCTGCTTTTCAACTTCCATGTAGTTCTCAGGTAGATAAGAAACCCCAGAGCTTATTGCAAATTTAACATCCATCTCTTTTGTCCTAAATAAGAGAATTCAAGAGGCATTAATTTCAGCAGCCAGATAGAATCACAAGCAAAAATCATACTTTCAAGATAAGAGCACAAAAAGAATATTCATATGGAGCATGAAATTCTGCAATTTTTTTACTCATTCAAGTTGCTGAAAAGATTTCTAGTACTGTTTACAAAAAAAAAACAACCGTAAGTGGGATACTTTTCAGGCATGATATTTTCCTCCAGCATAGTCACAAAAGCCAAGAACGAGAATGCAAATTACTCATAAAAAAAACTTTAAACTGTTTGTGATGATATTTAGCTTACCGAGTATGAAGGTAATATACACCGTTACTCCTTATCATCCCTCCATCCAATGAGATGGCTCCATTAAATATGCAAGGTAGGGACTGTAGCATGTCTGTCCTGGTTTTGTAAACTTGCAGTCGCGAGAAGAGAGTATAAAAAAGAGTCTCTCTTAGGCCATTGCCATCGGCTGTTAGATAGTATAAATGTGCACTATCAATCTGGATCATATTCACAGCAAACCCAATAAATCCTGCTGGAGATTCACCATTTGGTAATGCTGGTTTCCTAAGAGCAAGCCTCCTTTGCGGGTCATTAGGCATAAACTCGCCAACATATGGTCTAAATCCATAATCAGAAGCAGAAAAAGAGACCAAAAGCATCAGAAAATACACCAAGAACAATCCATGCAAAGAGTATATAGGGCAATAGGAGCAAATACCTAACATGTTCAAGACAGATCACATTAAATCGTCCGTCCAAAGTCTGTCCCATTGAAGCTCCAAGGCCATGAAGACCAGAATTTTTATTTATAGAGCCTTCTTTGTCATAAGATTCCAAAGATTTAAGACCGTCATATGTCATGCAAACTAGCGCCAACATATTATCCAGCCCAAGGTACTCCGATAGAAGCCTGATCTCCATAAATTTTGAAAACAATTAGCATTGTGATGATTTCTTAAAAAAGGAATCACAACCAGCTGGCAATCATGCTCCAGATCATGTCATAAGCCCATATTTAGGTTTAAGAAATTGAAAACGGCAAACAAGGTAAAACATTAAACAAGCAATATAAGATGTATTAATGTACAATGGGAGGAAGAGGTAAAAGAAGAGACCGAAAAATCAAACTAACCCACTAAGATGATCATCATTAACTTTTCCAAGAGTAGCTACAACACCAAGGACGTCCTTCATATGACCAGCCTGATTGCGATGACGTTTCAGCTGGCACCAAATGGCAGCAGCTGAGTTCTCATGTTTCATAATATTTCCAACTGTTGCCTCTTCACTCTGCATGTGGGAAAGATCCTCATCTTCGATCTTAGGTCCTGTTGAGGAATGATACTTCCCCAGAGTAACTAAGAGAAAAAAATATCATCAGAAACAGAAATCAAAAGATGGTGAAGGTACTGAACACACAATAGCAATTAACAGAAGTCTTTATGTTTATGTTATTAAGGAATCATGAAAGTGCATGAACAGTAGGCTAAGACAATATACCTTGCATATCAGTAATTGCATCGTCAAAACTGTTTTTATGATTCCTCAAATATTTGATATTTTCTTCATGATGTTTTATCTTCTTTCCCAGCAACAGCATATCGTTCTCAAGTTTCTGTAAGCATAAACAAAAAAGTTCAAGTTCAATATCCTGCCCGTAAGAAGCTGACAACTTCCAATTTGTATAACACGATAAATACAAATAACAAAGATCAAATGATTGGAAAATGATATTTAAAGATTCATATGCCATTAACAACCTTAGATGGGTTAACAAGTGATTCTGCCTGAGAGAATGTGCCATTCTCCACTCCATCCCTTGCAACATTAGATGAGTCATTCAGACCAACATAGTTCATTGTTGATGGGACTTGTACACTTAACACGTTTGGGCGTATTGGCATCTGAAAAGGTAGATATGTCAATTTCGTAAAGAAAAGAATAACATGAATCAGATACAGGTAAAGTTGACGGAATACATATCAGCAGTAGCTTCTAGGACAAAGCCGAGCCACTCTTTGTTTGCCTTGGAATGAATTGGTTAAATAACAATTGAGCCATCAAACAAATTACTAGAAATCTTGAGGGGCAAGGTGATGCTTGTTTTTTCCCCATTAACCTTTGTATAATATAGACAATGTTATATAAATTACGACTGTTGTTTCCTACCATTTCGACTTCAACAACTTGCTGCTGATGCTAATTTAAATGGGGCTGCTGATGCTGTTGACGAACATTGGCTGCTGTTGGTTGTTGTTGACAAACTTGATGCTTTCCACTCTGTTTATATGCAGCTATAGGCTCTGTATACGTTACACATTGCAGTACTGAATTAAGAAAGCAAGTATTCCCAAGAAGAGGGAACTCAAGAAATGGAGGAAACAAATAAAGAAAGAATTTGAAGAATGAGCAGAAGCCAAAGATAAATGCATTCAATGTGAAATATATGAAATTATTTGTCATATGCAAGTTGTTTTCCCGACCTTTTTAGAGAATAAAACCAAGGAAATGTTGCATCTTGAAGTGATGAATCAAAGGAAGAAGATGAAGCAAACAATATGACAATTTGGCTTTTCAATGTTCATGGGCAAGAATAATGAAGATTGAACTACCTGAAAACAACTAAGAGATGAAAGGATAAAACACGATTAAGTAGAGGAAGAAGTGAATCTACTAGAAAGAATATCAGGAAGCTCAATTCAAGAACTTGGCAACTAGATCAGATTCTTTCTGTTGGACAACAAGCTAAAACACACCAAGGTCTTGGATACATTGGTAATTTCTTTAACTCAAAAACAGCTTTTGTTAAACTGAACAAGGGAAAGATTTGAAGACGGAGAACAAAATCTAAAAAGACACAAGCAAATGTTTTGATGGTGGGGGAATCGATCATTTTATTCATCGAACATTTGAGACAAAAAAAAATACTCAGAAGATAAAGGATTGTAAGGAGGAAAGGATTCAAGTTGAAGAACATCAACAAGAAAATACAAGAGTATAAACAGTTTGGAAGGCTGAAAGGAAGGGTTTAGAGTTTGCTTTTACCATTTTAATCATCATCTTCATCCCTCCATTTGAGGCGGTCTGCAAGTGGAGCAAAGTGCGGAGGACGGAAAAACAACAGCAGCAAAGGGCGAGGAATAGATCCAGGACGGAGAATGGGAGCAACAGCAGCAGGGAAGGGCGAGGAGGAACAGGTGTCGACCAAAAGGGGGTTGAAATACGAAGGAAATATGGCTGAGCGAGAAGGGCACGTTTGGTTCCATAAAGCTAGGGGATTTGGGCCGAATGCATAAAGCCAAATCAGCTGTGAGCTTGATCATTAAGCCACAGACAAACACTCTGATATGGCTGAGTGAATAAGCCCCCTACAAGTTAAGCCCATTAAGGCGCAAACAAACAGCCCCTAAGCTAGATTTATGTATTAACCATGAGTAGCACAATGACAGTACCCACAACTCAAGCACTTGAATAGATATCAAATTAGATGCCAATGCTAGGAGATCGACCCTGTATGTTCATCCAGCACCAACTTCAATGCCTTATCAAGTCATCCTTCTTCCTTGGTTATTTAACTTTATAACTCTGGAATGGCGTATCTAGTGTACGATATCTACATTATGTTCCCCGATAGCTTCCTACATCATTTGCTTAAGACCGCATCCTATGATGTGAAGTGCTACAGTTGCCAAAAAAAATTGGTCATACCCTCTAATACTCTATCTCACAAGTCAAGTTTTAATTCTTGTACCAAGAATAAATCCATCAAGAATTCATTTACGGTGGTGCTTCTATTCCCAACTCCTAGACTACATCCATAATTTTAAAACTTCAAAAATATATGAAGGGAAGTTTCAACTTTTCACACCTTTTAGGATCTTCTTAAAGCTTCATCAAAAACCCATTTTCAAATTCAAAAATCGTAATTTCTTAACATCAGTAATACAAATTAAACACGCATATTTGATAAATTCTCCTCAAGAAAACTTAAGTTTAAAGAAATTAAAAAGAAGTCAGTTAATATGAGCATGCAAGTCAATATATTGAAACCTATGTATATAAATATGCACATAATGCTCTACTTTCATCACCAAGACTATAATTGCAGTTCAAAGTCCTTGAAAAAGAACGAATGCAAATATTATTCTTGTTCGAAAAAGTTATTCTGAGCTCAATTAATTTCAAAAGGAGAAACTACAAGAAGAAATGCGAAACCCTAACAGAAGTGGATACCTGTTGATTAGACGAATACATGGTGTTTGAAGCAAATGGGAGTTCCGATCAGGTTAATTCACACGCACAAGAACACTATGCAATGTGTGTAGGCTTGAACGGCAAGTTAGAATACAACCCCAACTTACTTCCGACTGCTCTGTGCCGGAGTGTGATGTAGCCCGACCAAGACGTCGGCGGTAATGGGATTTGCCGAAGCTTTCAGACTTTCCAGTACGAACATCAAATTGAACGAAGAGTGGAAGACAGTTTTTGATTAAACTTGATCAAGATTTATACTGCTCCAGAAACAATCAACATTTCTCAGCTGGTTTTTCCGTTGTATCATTCGTGAAATGTTAATTGTTTGGTTATATGGTTTCTTTTCATATAAATAAATAATATACCAGTTCTACCCTTGCAATACCACGACACACATGAATTTTAACGATTTTGAAGTTTTATTAGTTTTATAAGATAAGATTTAATGATGATATAAGTTACATTTGGTCTTTACATATTAATACAATTTGAATAAATAAGAGTTATGGTTCCAATTACAGACTATCGATAAAAAAAATTGTATGACAGTTTAAAATTCAATATATTTAAAATCCAACATATTTAAACGACTCCACAAATGTTTCGATTTACACCAAGAGCAAAGAACCAAGAAACTTGAGTTTTAAGATAAACACTCAAAACYAATAAAGAAAACTACAAATTTGACAGATCATAAGTCAAGAAAAGACCAAAAAAGATGGGTTTTAGAATGAAATTTCAACTGTTTACCCCTTTTCTTGTCCAGAAACTCAGATTAAGGTTGAATTAATGCATGTATATATATATATATATATATATATTTCAAAAAAACCCAAGAACATATTAATTCAGCACATATTATACAGTACAATTTGGACAGCCTAACCCCAAAATATATAGTATATATATAAATAAATAACTATAAAAGTATAAATCATAAATATTAAAAATATTTTTTCACAGTATATATAATATATAATAATATAATTAAGTAAAAAATTATTCAATATTGGACTCATTTCAAGGTATTCATGAGACGATTATAATGATGTAACTTGTTAAAATAAAATTGTATTTTTTAAACATGTTTTAATTGATATACGATTATGTATGTTAATTTGATAAAGGTTTAAAATGAAACATTTAAAAGTAAATGACGTAAAGTAAATTAATTAAATAATTATAGAGATATAAAGTGTAAATTTAAAATTATAATTTAAAAAAAATTGGTTGTGAGATGTTCATCCTGTATTTGATTATGTTTACCTGTAGCTAGTTACACAAATTTAAAAATAGAGTTTTAATAAGTTGTACTTATGCACAATTACTTTTAATCTTAAATTTTAAGTAATATTTACAAATAAACAGTATTTCATGCATAAAAAATGATTTAAAAGTTTTTAACAAATGTTGATTAATTATATTTTAGATATTCTATATTCTATATTTAAAATTAATGTTTATTTTGTATTTGATTATGTTTATCAGCAGTTCGTTACACGAATTTAAAAATGGGGTTTTAATAAGTTGTACTTACACAAAATTACTTGTAATCTTAAATTTTAAGTAATATGCATCAATAAACAGTA